CCATTTCGATACAGCAGTTGTATGCCTTTCATTTAATAACTCAAGGCAGCAAATAGGTAGTCCTTATTTAATAATAATAATAGTAAAGTTTAACAGCCGGTTGTTTAGCGACCATTCAAAATTATGACAAATTCCCCAAAAGGTACTTACAACCCAATTTCGAAGTTCCAACAGCAACCATCTCTCACCTCACAATTGTGTGATTGGCCATTGTTCACATTTATGGCCTTTGCAATGTCCCACCGTCACATTTTCAGTGATTTTTGCCAGTTTCCAGTGTTTACTTCCTGTTTCCAGCAAAAAACACTCCTTGGGGATAATAGATTCATTTAACAATTTAACTGCTCCAATTACAACCACAATTCTAGGCTCAATTATGATTGTAAATCAAGGACTATCTGTACACAGCACTTTCTCCTTCAGTGTTCCTTAAATCAGTTCTCTAAAGCAACTTGGGCTGGGAGAAATTAATTGCCCCAAAGCTCCAGAAGATCATCCATCACCTGAAATTAATTAGAAAAGAGCTCTAATTCAGTGCCTTAACCACTATACCACCCCACCTCTCCAAGCTGTTAAATCTAGAAAAAATTCCTATGAATACAAAATATCAGAAAGCACTACTGTACCAACCACCATGTATTTAACACAAATGAAAAGTTTGTTGCAGAAAATCAAAACAAACAGGGCCTGTTAAAACAAGCATTACTTTGAACAGCAAATGGTTTTCCTTAAATATACCTATTGTCCTTCTCTCCTTCCTGCAAGGTTTACTTTCTCAATCTAAAGAAGTCATCAGTAATTATCTATGCATTGCAGAGTTTCTCTTCAATAGCTCTTTTCCATTATTTTTCTATGCTTTCCAACTGAAAGAATTAACATGCATTATTAAGATAAGTTACTTCCGCCCATTTCCAGACACTGCCTTAAGAGTATTTTGCTTAGAGGTTATGCATAATGGCAAACTGTGTACCACAAGAATCCAGAGGCAGTAACATACAGAGGTATTGAGACCAAAGCACCACTGAAATCTCAGAGATTGTCTGTTTAATTTTACACATGCAGAAACACAATTATACTATATCCTTATCCTATAATAATTATTTTATATTAAAGTCAGATTCTTGGAAAATATTTCAGTGATTTGGGACTCATGATTAAGGTTGTATCTTAACTTAAATTACACCACCAAAGTATTTCACTTTAATTTGAAAGGCTTATCAAGCCACTGCTTATTTTAGAACTTCCACACTACACAAAATTACATGACAAAAATTGGACACAAGGGGTGAGAATGTTCAAGTATTAATTAAATTGTTCTGAAGCCGTCTTAACTGCATTGTTTTCCTTCCTAACTTCTGCAGCAAACAAGAAAATATATTTTTAAATACACCTTGCCTTGAGATGTTGGAACACTGCCAACATTCAATTTAATATGCGTACACTATGTACCAGAAAATTAACACTTGCCCAAATATTCCAAATGCTTTGAAATATTTATTATCTTGTGAAGAAATAGTTTTGAGTTCAATAAGGGTGTCAGGAGGTATTCTCAGTTTATTTTTGTTGTCATATATATTCTGATAGCTTCTCTAAACACTACAAAATCTAATTACTCGATTTTGTCCCGTAGTATGCTATAGTAGGATAAATTCAGTCTCCCACATATTAAAATATAATAGGGATTATAATATAAACAAAGTTTATCAGAAACTCTAATCCATCAGGATCAATGATATATAATATGGAAAAAGAATACATTTTACTTTCTTAGATACAAGTACTTTCTTACACCCAATCACTCATGGTAAATTTTAGTATGTTCCCTACTTTGAAAGTACAGAGCAAGGGGAATGTCTGTAGCTCAGAGTGAGCTACTATGAAAGATTTCCCTTTATGCTCTTTGTCCACAGAAGTTACCATCATTCTCTTGTCCAACTCCTCTCTGGTTGTTCAGGTTTATTTCTATATACTTGTATTTAGAACAGCTGGCAATACTGGCCAAGTTATCAGCTTTACAGCACTCTCTTGTCTGCAGTCCATCAGAGAGGAAAGTGAATTTCTCGTGACAAGCCCGGTTATGTTCTTGGGCAACAGCCTTAGTATCAATGTTCTGTTTCTGGAGATATACTGAAGTACTCTGCCTAAGCACATTTGGGTGAGCTTATATTTAGAAAACAAAATCAGAAGTTTTTGAAAGAAGACACACAGACCTGTCCTATTTAATCCAAACCTAAGCCATTGCCTATAGCTATGATTACATAAACTGTCTAGAACTGATTAATTATAGAAGTCTTTACATAGCTTATTCATATACATGAATGCCAGATAATACATTTAGGATTATGGATTTAGAATTTAGAATAGTCAAAGAGCCTATTAAATAAATATGGCTCACATTTATATATATATATATATATATATATATATATATATATATATATATATATATACATATACATATACATATACATACATACATACATACATACATGCAGTTAACATGATCCTAAGTAATGAAGATCATCCAGTTGCATCTCTGCAAAGATCTGCTTTATCAGTTATTCAAAAAAAAAAAAAAAACCATCAGAATGCAACTGAAATCAATAGAACACCACCAGATTAAGGTTGCAATCTTAATCTATTTTCCTAATTATAAATCCCAATGAATTCAGTCAAACCTATTTCCAAGAAGACAAGCACAAGATTGTGTTATGAGAATCACTGCTCACACCAGGGAGATACTAACTTATTTTTTATATACACATTCAAACTATTTTATATATATTATACATATCCCAAGTAGTTACTTCCATATCAGGATCCCTAAGATTATGATAAAGTAGAACGGAATAACAAGAGTTGGAAGGGACCCTGGAGGTCTGCTAGTCCAACCCTTTGCTCAAGGAAGAAACCCTGTACCATTTCAGACAAATAGTTGTCCAATCTCTGATTTTCTAAGCAATTTAATGATAGCTCAGTACACAAACTATGTTAAAGTACTTGACTTAGCTTAAAGTATTTTTTTCAATTTACTACACAACATTTTGCACTTGCCATCTTGAAAGCAAAAAGTTGCATTTACATTTTCAGTTGTTGCACTCGTCCTAAAACTTTTTCCTGCTTGTATTCATAATTTAATCTAAAACAGTTTTCAGAGTTTTCCGGAGTCTGCAAAGCTTAGAATAATAACTACAAACAGGGGAGTTATAATAAAAAAATCAGAAGAAAAAGATGTATCAAAACAATGAAAGTGGATGGTTAATTAAATTTAAAATCATCCCAATTCTAAAAGTTACTTTAAACATAACTCATAGTCAAGTCAATTTGCTTTCATTTAATCAATGTTTTGGATTCAAAACTAAATTATAATTAATTCTACAATAAATAGAATACAATAATTAAGAACCATGTACTACTTACATTTCATTCCAGTGAATTTTTTTATAAAAGTGTCACAAGACAATTTGTCTTGGTATTGATGTGGGATTTCCCAAGAGTAAACATAACTAGGAATCCCAACAATCTGGATTATCGTACAATTAATTCCTAGATACAGTTGAAATCACCCTTCTAATTTTTATTTTTTGCCAACTTAGTTAGCTTATACATACTTTATTCCACAAACAGTCCTCACAAGATGTGCTGCAGATGTAGAGCATAGGGTCTCCTAACAGCCAAAACAGTGAGAGAGGCCTCTTGCTTTCCAAAGATTTTTGGCCAGAACTGGTATCACAACTCCTTGCCTCACTGTTGTCAGACACAATTTGCACACACAGCTATTCCAATGGTTGGGAAGAAGAATTTGGCATTAAAAACCCACCAGATTTTTGTCCCTCCCATGTGCTCAAAACCTCATTTGTTCTTTCAGAACTAGACACTGATTTCCAAGAAAGTCATAATACTTCTTAATAAGAGCTATTCTTCCCAAATGCCACTAATAAGAAGCAAAACACAAAGCAGTGTTCTCAGCAGCATAAAAAGTTCTCTTAACAGCTCACTAGGCTTTTTCACTGAAATTTACACAGGCCTCCTAAAATATCACTGTTATTGATTAAACCCATGGCACTTCCAACTGTATACTGCAGCAATCAAATCTTTTCCACTCCCATCGCCTTATTGTGATGGGTTATAATTGTGTGCAATTTTTCTACCAAGCTTTGTTTTAGCATTTACCAGTCTAGCACTTCGGTTTACAGCCCCTGCTGACTGTTTCTAGGCAAGGATTCTGGATTGCTAAAAAATAAATAAATAATAAAACTTAATAAGGTAGCAATGCATTTCCTGACCACTGATGCCCAGACGGGATATGTTGGATAAAAAAAACCGGGGAAACGTCAGAGAAGGGTAATTAATGTCTATCTTGAACTACAGAGCCAAAAAACCGAGGCGCTCAGACATTTACAGGATTCAACAGTTCGCCTACTCGTGTTGCAATTCAGGGCAAATTTACAGTGACTGCGGCCAGGACTATTATCTTCAGCGGATAGGAAAAAACGTGTTGAATGTGGGCATTCCTGCAATATATCTTCCCCTCGGCTGCCAGCGCCGTCTGCCCGCAGTCTCCGGCAGTCCCGCGTGCCTGGGGTTACGAGCTGCCATGTACGCAACCATTATGACGGCAGCTAAACGCTTAAGCCCATTTCTTCCCGAACCACCTCCGCGTCCAAGCCGCAGGGCCCGGGGCTCCTCGGAACCCCATGCAGGTCGGGCCCCAGCGCTGCAGCGGCTCCTGAACTTCCTCTGCAAAGCTCGAAGCGCGGGCGGGGAGAGGCAGGACTAGGAAGCTGCTTGCAGCGCCGAGCCCGTCGCGGGGAAAAGCAGCAGCCCAGCCAGCAGCGAAGCCCGCGGCCTCACGCGCCCCTTCCCGCCCCGGGTTTGCAGGAGGCCTCGCTGCGCTGCACAGGATATCGCCCAGCCGTGCGGAGTCCCGGTCCGGCGGGGCGGGCCCCCCTTGGCGTCGCCCTCGCTAGGCCGCCCAGATACCCGCGGCACCCCCTCACCTTCGGCGGCCAGCTCTCCCGAGCCTGGATCCGCGCGCCTCCCCACCGAGGCAGGGAAAAGAGGGAATTCTGCAGAAGCCGCCTGTTCCTTCGCCGCTGCCGCGCCGCTCCCTCCAGCCGCCTCCGTCCCAGCCAGGCAGCCCGAGCCGCGAAAAGGCTGGCCGCCCTCTCAGTTCGCCATTCGCTCCTCCTCCGCTCCGTCGCCCCTGCCAACCCGCTCCGCGCCTTGGGGACCCAAGCACCGCCTCCCCGCCTGGCTGGGCTGTCGCGCTGCTGGCTGAGGAACCGACGAGCTGGTAGCTGGTGCCGGCGCGGAGCGCTTCGCCTGCTGCTGCCCCTCGCGCTGCAACCCCATCCTCTTTGCGGCAGGGAAAATGGGGCGCTCGTGGCCCCGGGGAAGGCCGCAGTATAAAGGGCCCGCCGGGGGGAAGGCGTTGGAAATCGTAGGGTTTGGATGTTCCTCCCCCCCACATGCCCTTTCTCACTCGCTATTGACGCTTGGAACGGAACTGGCCAAGGCGACGCCAGAGCCTCGGTTGCTTCATGCGGGCTTGCGCTGCAGCCCCGTCCGCAAAGGTTTTCGTTTTTTTTTCCCCTGGTGGAGCTCTTGCGCTGAAATTCCAATGCAGGCAGACACGTGCGCGCGCCCCCGCTCAACCCGCTGCCTTAATCATATCAATTTAGTAATCAGTCTCGTGCCATGCGACGTTCGTCTGTGTGGCGGCCTGTCTTCGCATTAAAGTTTGGTGACTGAAATAATACACAAGGGGAGCCTGGGTTAGGAAGTAAAAAAGGAACAACCTGAACTTGTGTTGTGGAATTCCATAGGTAACGATGGCGCAAAACAGCCTTCCCCGAACTGCTTTTGGGACCTGCGGAAGGTACTCTGGAAATATGGCCCCAAAACACAAAGTCTAAAAAGCTTAGTTTTAACATGGCCTATAGCACTATAAATCTGAGAAAACGCAAGACCATTTTCACTTGCATCAGCTCATTGTGATTTGAATCTATACTAATATGCAAACAGCAGTAGGGTGTACAAATAAATAAATCAAGCTTATTGGCTTCCTCATTCTCTTACTTTTCTCATACTAATTTATCACAACAGGAAGCCCCATTTTTCATTTACTAAACCCAAGAAAGGTCTGCTTTTTTCTGGCATTCTGCCACTTGATATCAACTGTGATATCAAAACTTCTACTCTGAAAAAAAAGTTCTGGAGCTATACCTGTTTGGGTTCATCCCTCTGATAAATTATTGTATATCTGGGAGGCAAGCCTTTCAACAATTTGCTGGAGGATGAAGGGAAGTTATATCCCACCATTTAGAATGGGGAAAGAACTGAATGTGATAGCAATAGTGGACAAGGAGCTATTGAAAGATGCTGGTGGCGCATTCAATGGGGAGAAAAAGGCTATTTTTGCCTGCTTATTTATTTCATTTTATTCTTTTGTAGAAGAATTTCAGTACACTTTCCATTTGCTTGTGTCAGGTAGAAAATTGGGAGGCAGAATAGAATTCAAAAGCACTAAATGTTTATTCCATGCACAAGAATCTGATCTAATAACAAGTCAAGGCAAATTGGCACCGCAGGAATGGACGTCAAGGGAGGGGGCTAGATTTAGGTCTCTTGGGGTTATTATAGTTTATTTATTTCAAGTATGCATTTTGCAGCTGCATTAATTCTTACTCATTGCCATATATTGAAATGGTGGCAATTCTATAGTTCAAGACACCTATCTGTAGATTGTAATCCACTTGAGGGATACCATCCACTGATGGAAGTCCAATATTTAAAGCATATATTTATCAGATGTATGGGTGCTTCTTAAAATCTTGACCCCAATGGAACAAATGAAAACAAGCCTTACAAAGAAAAATAATCTTTAAAAAACCTTGTCCATAAAAACATGCAATAGTAAATTGTATATGCACAATAATTCTGCAACATATGTTCAACTCATATACACATATAGCAGTGGTGGCGAACCTATGGCACATGTGCCAGAGGCGGTACTCAGAGCACTCTCTGTGGGCACACGCGCCATGCCTCGGAGATGGCAACCGTCTCTCTTCAACCAGCCGCCCACTAACTCTCCGAAGTCCCACATGAACGGATGCATCCCAGAACCCATGCACTCCCTGGCCTCTTGTGTGCAGAGAACGATGGTGTTAGGCAGCAGCCACCCCAGCCTTACCTTGCCCTGTGACAATGGTACCCCCGCCCTGCCTCACCTTGCCTCACCCAGCAGGACGAGTCTCCTGCCCACCGCCCCACCTGCCAGAGACCCCCTGGATCTCCTCCAACCCTGCCCAGCCCCCACAGGCGTCCCTCCCCATGAGCAAAATCGAGATGATCACGCCCACCTTGTCCACACCCACCCAATCTGCCATGACCACCAAAGCCACGCCCACCCAGTGGGCCACGCCCACCTGCCACCTAGTGATAAATAAGTGGGTTTTGGGTTGCAGTTTGGGCACTCAATCTCTAAAAGGTTCGCCATCACTGACATATAGACATACATGCAAAAAATCCAGATAACACCTTTGATCCAAACAGAGGCAACACTCCCTCAATTACACTGAAATGATACATTCACACTAACCAAAATGCTATTCCCTTCTGTGATAAGCAACATTATGCACAGTGCATGAAAGGAGTAGGGGGTAAAAAGAAAAAGAAATTAAAAACAGGTGCTGGGAAAAAAAGAAAGAAAATCTTTACCAGTCTAATTTATACCAACATTTATTCACTATACCAGTGGTAGCGAACCTATGGCACAGGTGCTAGAGGCAGCACTCAGAGCCCTCTCTGGGCACACGCATCGTCGCCCCAGTCCTAGGCCTTCAGCTGGGTTTTATAAAACCTTTAGGTCTCTGCTGCAGTGTGCAAAAAAAAAAAGGTTCAATTAGTCAATTTCAACTTCTCACGGGGAAAAAAAGATCTTGCAAATTGGAATTGATTGATTGAACTTTTTAGTCCCACCCAGTCTGCCATTACCACCGCAGCCACACCCACCCAATGGGCCACACCCAGCCAATGGGCCACACCCACCCAGCACTCGACGATGCATAAGTGGGTTTTGGGTTGCAGTTTGGGTACTCAGTCTCTAAAAAGTTCGCCATCACTGCACTATACAGTACCTCTCTGTAGTCTCTGTTCTTGAAGCCCAATGTTGTTTCCATTATATCTAAACAACTTTTAATCTTTAGACTTCTCACTTCTCTTTTTGAAGACCTCATGGATTCCATCCAATCATAATTCTTCCAGAATTTTTCTCAGTCCTATACTTTTCCTATCTCTGTTTTGTAATTCCATAGCTTCTTTTTCTTTCACCAAACCACCTCAACATATTTCTTTTATATTTGTTTCTCAGTTTTCTATTCTATCCATATTTATTCACCTCCATTTATTCTTGATCTATTTTTGTTCTACCATTTGCATTCTTAAATAATTCACTACCTTGCATTCAACTTCCATTGGTGTCTGACAGTCCACCTCTCATCATCCTATAACAAAGTAGGCAGAAGCATGCTTTTATGAATGAGCATTTTGACAGTTATCCCTCTCAACAAACTACATGCTACCCATTACCAGTCTGCCCACTGTTATGAATGAATATCTGTGTGCATATTTGTGTGCACATGCCTCCTTGTAGGAAGTAAACCCTGGTTTTCAGCAAAAAAAGTCACAAATCACAGTCACATGACAGTGGAACACTGCAAAAGGCTGTCAGTGAGGGCTGGCAGCTAATCACCCAAAATGCAATCATATGACTTCCAGGGCCATGCTGCTGGAACAATGAATCTGGTTTTGTAAGTATCTTTTGGAGCGTCTATCATAACTTAAAACAGTGGCTAAGTGACTGGTTGTAAGTCAAAATCTATCAGTAGTTTTTAAGTTTGTTCATTTGGGTTTTTTTTATATAAGTGTATGTAAACTGTACATATGAGTGGACAGCTTATAATGTTTCAGAAATAAATAAACAAAGGTAAAACAATTAGGTACAGTATCTGCTGAATAAAAAAGGATTTTTTATTGCAACATGTATGTGTCATGTCTGATACATTACCAGACACAATTAGGCTTCCCTAACAGCATGATGCAACAGGCAAATTATTTCCTAAAAACTGTCAGCTCTGTTTGAAAAGGTCTATGCTACAAAATCTAAAACACTAATTCATTTGGCAAGTTTAGAATGAGTGATAGATGCTCAGACTTGTCAGCAACATTTAATTACAGACTAGTCTTGACAAAGAAGCAATATTAAAATATGAGCTATAGTTCTCCCAGCAAAAATCTGGATGACCATTAGAGGACAGTAAAGAAATGCACAAAACTCAGGTTCTCCACTACCCTCTAATGGTTGCTTTGGTTTTTTTAGCCTAGATGAACAGCTATACTTCCAGACGTGGTTTTTTTTAAAAAAATTATGGCAAGATGACACTCTATAATTAAGTTATAGCATGGTTCTCAAAGTTTGAATTACCATATGAAATACAAAAAAAAAAAAAAAGCATTGACTCCCTGCTCTTCTTGGCACAGTAGAATAAGGTAATAACATCCAACTTATCTAATCAGCAAAACTCAAAATCAAAGTTTCATTTTTTTCCACCTCAAGCACAACGTCCAGAAGCGGTTTCCAAGTAGAAACAAAATTAATTATACTTTTTTTCTTTAATAAAAGCAGTCAGTTTAGCCATCTCTGCTAATTTCATCAACTTTTGCAGCCATCCGTCCACTGTGGGGAAAGTATCCTTCCATTTTTGTGCATAGAGTATTCTTGCTGCTGTCAACAGCTCCTTCAACTCCTAAACAAAAATTTGTGTGATCTCTAGCATGAATATAATGACTTCATTGGTGTTAGAGTTGGGCAAGAAATAAATATGCCACTTTTGATAATTATATTTTAATATATAAAACATAGGAATTCTCAAGCCCCTGCAGTATAGCAACTGCTGACCATAGATTTGCACAGTCAAAAAAACAAGTTAAGCTTAGTGAGTTTTGAAAGTAGATCAGCATAGAGTATCCATGTTTCATTTAACAAAACTTACAATATGCTATCTTTTCACAATAAAGATTCACTTATCTTTTTTATCAGGATAAAAATGCTCAAAAATTTTTGAAGGTTACTGCTTCTGGGCATTTTACACACTGATAACTGGATACAGCATCTGAACCTTTATTAGATGAATCAGTGCAAGTATGAAATGAAATGACTACAAACTTTATCTGTACATATGACATCTGTGTTTATTTTTCATTCTTGTAAAATGGTGATAAGAGATGTGACATATATAACTGAAGGCTTTTTCTGCCAACAGAGTCACAATAAAATAAGAGTCACATTATCGGAGAGTTAATTAAGACCTGTAGATGTTTGACAATCACAGAGAAAAAAGTCTACTTTTTATTGTAATCTGTGACAGAAGAAGCACTTTTTAAAA